ACATAAAGAGAGCCAAAGGAAATTAAGCAGTAATTAATTAATTCCAGAAGAGAATTTGAACTGAGTGAACAGCGGTATATCTGTCTTTTTAACTGGGTCCTGAAACTTAGAAAGAAAATAAAATTGAGTCCCATCCCTGTAACCAGAGACGTTATCATACTGCACAAAAGGGGGGGAATTGACGTTAAAAGGGGAGAATCTAAGATTACACACAAAGCCTCAATATTGGAGTTACCTAACTTTGAGCACATGACCTAGCATTCCTAATAATATTATTTTAACATAATTTTTAACGTGTAATTATTTATAAAGCTCCAGACAGTAGGTGTGTATATGCTTTATAGGCGTGTAAAATTGTCTGATCCCTGCCCCTAGGAGCTTGCGTGATGACACCACACATGGGATGGGAAAAGAGGGGGTATGGGAGGACAGGGTTGCAACACTGTGAGATCATGAGATGTACTTACTGCTACATAAGCAACATTTCAGCTTCTCTGTGGTTTTCTTGTTACTCATTTAACAATATATATTAAAATTTGGTGAACAGATACATAACACAAAGACATCAACCGTAAGAAAGGATATGAATAAAGAGAACTATGTAGTACAATGTTCAGACTCAGCAGTTAATATTAAAACATTCACAGGCAAACGTTGCATGTAGTCAATTATTTATATGGGTTTAGCCCTTGGCACCTCCAGCTGAGGTCTGGATTCTGCTCCACCAGACACTGTACAAATGTATCGTGAGATATGATAGCTGTGTTATGGTTTTTGCTGTAAAAAAACAGTCAGTGTCAGAAGGGAATCTCACAGGCAGAGAGACCAAGATGTTTTAACAGGTTAGAGGCAGAGCTAAGAGTAGGACTAGAGTGTTTTGACATTTGTTTTGATATTCGAATTGCTAATTAGTATGTATATTTGGATTACGATTGCTTGAACAGGAATCCCCAAATCTAACCAAACAAAAAGGAGTGCACTTTCAAGTTGCTACCATGAACAGAAAATTAAAACCATAGAGGAAAGACCCCAGCTTGGAAACCCTGGAATCCATGTACCTTCTTTTAGAAATTTCTGTTTCTGTGCTCTGGGAACTGAAGTAGATTAGAGCTCTGCTGCGCTGTTATATTTGTTTGTGCAAAGCCCGTGGTTGCTGTAATTTCTGACCTGGCCACAATCTTACCCTGCCATGTGCAGACAAACATATCCCACGCCAGAGACTGTACCCTTAAATACTCACAAGTTTCGTCGACTTCGGGAGTAGACGAAAAGCCTGCTGTGATATTCTAATGCTATCAGACATTACAGCCACGCAGAGACCACCTGGAACAACCAGTAAACAGCTCCAGAAACCCTAAGAAAAATTAATTTAAAGCAAAACATACAACTAATTGGAGGAAGCCACATAGCAAAACATTCTTGATCTTCTGGAGCACAGGCTAACTCTTTGGAGAAAACCTATATGAGAACTGTGGACTTGATTCTGCTCTAAATTGCACTTCTTCACAATGGATGGACAAAATACTACCTGGACCTTTTTTACAGCCCTTCACACTCCAAATATTGTTTGCTTCCACTTTAAGGGTACTTATCACAATCTACCAGAGCACAAAACTATTTTAGCACATAGCACTATTAATTCTTAGGAATTTATTTCACTGGCTGAAAAGCCCAATTTTTGGTCAGGTTTACAATTTAAAATTGCAACCAAATGTTTCCATTATTCTTATTAACCTTTTTTTCCCAAGCCTTAGCCAAATAAATAAAATTTCACTAAATAAAATTTCTGTCTCCAGTAGATCTCGGACTCAAGGAGAACTCAGTCTTACTGCTGCTAACCCCTACTACATCACAGTAGCAACACATTGTTCCAATTTCTTTGTTCTTATCTTCCTTTTAGAATTAAGTATAGATCACCAGGGTACAAAGTAGAAGATAGAAAGGAATGAGAAAACTCTGTGTAAAAATGTCCTGTATATTTTGTAGCTTATGCTACAGAGTTTTGCACTTAAAACTCTGTATAGTTTGGTATCTGTTGTTCACACAAAGTGCATTTTGACTTGTCTGGGGATTCATGAGGCTGGTTTGGTCCTGGAAGTAGCTCATTCATCAAAGAGCTATGTAGAATTTCTGGGTTCCCAACACATTTTACTTGTGGGGTAGCAGTTGTTCTGACAGTGAAAATGGAAATTGATGTTCTCCAAATTTGTCTGTACTCAAAATGGTACTAAGAACAGATTTATGTCTGATTAAAACAAGAATTTCATGCAAATAGTTTTAAAATATACCTTTTTCCCTTTCCTCTACACTTAGGAAGTGGTTTTTAAAAACCTAGGAGCTTGACCTCAAAAGGATTTAGAGGAGCACAATTTTCAAAGCTGCTTTGTTTACAAAGATAGGTTATGAGTGGAAATGGATTTATCTTCAAATATTCCTGGCACATTCCAAGCATAATATTTTAAAGAATATTACTCTCAGCATCACTGTTGTGTCAGTCTAAGTGGTTGCTGACATAAGATTAAAACACATCACAAATGTTAAGTTTTTGCTATATTGCTAAGCTGATCTGGAGCAATTTTGCTGTCTCAGAACCGAAAAAATAAATAGTATTTATTAAAAACAACTTCATGTCCCAAACAACAACAACCTATTTCAGTCCCAAACCCCTGTTTTTAAATTACAGACAGATATATTAGATAAATACAGAATATTAAGCATTATAAAATCACAGGAAAAAAAAGAAAAAAGAAAGTCGGAAGCCTAGCCCAATCTCCTGCTCCGAGCAGGGCTAACTTCCAAGCCAGAACAGGCTGCCCAAGGCTTCACCAGGCTGACTTCTGAGAATCTCCAGACATGGAGATTCCTCAACTCCTCAACTTCTCTGGGGAACCTCTTCCACTGCCTAACCATTCCCATTTTGAGGAATTCTCTCATATTTAATTTTTTATTTCCTTTAGAGAAGCTGGTGACAGTTGCTTCTTGTCCTTTCACACTGCACGCCTGAGAACCCTGATAGTTTTCCTTCTGTTAGGGAAAGACTGCAACCAGGTCCCTCCTCACCAACATTGCTTTCCATTCCCCTCACACCTCCTGTGCTCCAGTGCCCCAGCCCCCTCAGTGGCTCTCCACTGGATCCTCTGAGTTTTCCAGTCTCTCTCTTGAACTGGGGGCCCAAGACAGGACCCTGCAGCACTGGCCTCTAAGTGCCTTCCTGACTGCAATGGGCAGTGCATCACACCATACTTCCAGCTTCCACTCCTTTGGCTCAGCAAGACCCCTGGACCCAAGTCCTGATGGACAGCTTCTCTGTGCACTCTTTCCAAATAGTAAAAATTATGTGGGCTTGTGGGGCAAGAACAAATCTAAATGTCATGGACGGAATATGTATCTTTGGCTGAGGTGAAAGATGGAGGAAATACTGACTTTCAAGAGGGAGTGTGTCACAATGACCTGTGGTTAATCCTTCATTTGATTAAAAAAACAGAAAAAGATCCCCCCAAATTGTAGCTGATTAGTATTGTTATTGCAAGGTTTTGCTTTGATGTCTTTGGTCAACAAAATGCTAACTTCCTCCTCTGCCACTGAACATGCATGTGTGTTTTTCAAACCACTCTAGATCCTGCATTTTGAAGAAAGTTGGGATAGCCTATTTACCTCAAAAGGACCAATCTAAGCCTACTGAAATTAATGGGTTGCTTTTTTGGATCAGGTCTGGAATGTTAATTGCAGTTACTATACCAGCCTATCTAATCCTTTCAATAGAAACTGCATCAGGACCTAAGACACTGCAAAAGGAAAAATCACAAGGATAATGTATTCTGGAGCAAGTATCTAAGTAAAGCTTGACCATGTCCCCATTGATACTGATGGATAAAGAAAAACCCCAAGATCATTCCAGTAGGTTAAATACTGACTTTGGTCTAATTTATCCCTAAGTTATCACCCACTGCATGATCCAAGATGAAGTTCTCACTCAGAAATGTGTGGATGGAAATAACTAGGTCATGATACATGCTTTTATGAAGAGGGTACAGATTAGCAGCTGAATGGAGAGAGACCAGAAAGCACAGACTTTGTGTCAACTGAGAATTCAGAGGAATTTCTGGCCCCTGTCCCATGACTCTGCAGCATCACACAGAGCGGATCCCTGTCAGTATTACCAGGCCACCCTCCTTGCTGGAGACCTAGCTTCCTATTTGGCCAGCTTGTATTTGCAAAGTCCTATAAATTTTGGGTTCCCTTTGCAGCTCTGCCACCAACTATGTGAGTTTTGGCAAACAAACAGTGTCAGAGTCATTTGTGCTTGAAGGCAGTTTCTAGTTAAACTCCAGGTTCTCGTATTTTCTTGCAAAAACTGCAGAAAAATGTTTGTTTATGGTGAAAAAAAAAAGAGGGAAAAGAAAAGAAAATATGCTGAAAAGACCCCCACCCCAAAGTATAACACCAGTGGAGGTTAGCATTAGGTGTACAGATATATATACACATATAAATATATATGTGTGTATATATATATAAATATATTTATATGTGTGTGTGTGTGTGTATATATATATGTATGCAAACATTTCCAAACCAATCTCCAAAGTTCACTGCATACAGTCCTTTTCCACCTGGCTTTCAGTGGCTTGAATTTTCCATTATATGACCTGCATGCAATTTTTCTGGATCAATATATGGTAACATTTTTTAAAAACTTCAGATGCTATCAGAAGTACAAAATAAACCAAACTGTAACAGAATTATTTCATATTCCTTGAAGAAATCAACTCTGGAGGGCAGCGGTCTTTTGCAAGAAATGTAACTGCAAGTTCAAACAAAAAAGTGACCTTTGCCTGTTGCTACAAGTATGTCGCTTGAGGGGATTTGGCAGTGAGCTTTTCACTGGGAGGAGTCACTTGGCATTGGTACTGGTTTATGAAAGAGCAGAAGAAAGTATAAGTTGGTTTTCTTAAATGAGTCCCTAGCAGGAGGACAAGCGCTGGTGGCAAGCAAATGTTTACCTCGGCGGAGCGCGGTCGGGTCCCACGCTGTCACAGAAAGCATTCGGCACGGGGCCCGTCCCTGTGCCACACACTGCATCTGCCTCAGCTGGGTCCGTGTAGCCATTGACCAGCCTGATGTCTCTCAGCTTCATACTGTCACTTTGTGACTCCAGAGACACAATGTCAGACGGGGAGCTCACAACACCCGAGTCCTCTGTGGCGTCCTCTGATGCAAAGCAGCTGCTTTCTGACGCCGTTTCTTCCACCTCTGATAGCTCCAGAACCGTGTCATCCACTACATAAACATTATCATGTGTAGACAGCAGGCTCTCTAAATGAAATACACCAAGGAAAGTTAGCTGGAAGTCATCAGTACATAAATCAGAGAGCTGTCCCTTTGTAATTGGAAAAACCCACATGAAATGCATTAGAAATGTGAGGGAGGGTGCTCAGTATTTGTATATAAGATAAAGATGATTTGAAAAGTGACAAAAATTATGTCCTTTGCTTTTAGAGATGTGGTTTGCTAGGCTGGTCCTCTGGGGTTTGGGACTTATAACTTCCAAAGTAAATCAGTTTCCTTAATTCTCTGAAGAAAGAATTTTCCAGGGACAGTTTCCTGAGGAATTAGACTGAAGTTTAAATAACATGGTTCAAGAAATCTCTCCTATTACTCCTTATGGCAACATAATCTGATTATTTCTCTTCTATTCTATGACAAACAGATAATATTTCCAATAAGAAGTCTGTGTACAGGTAAAAATGGGCAGCATTTCCCAGTCAGAACACTTGGCAAACTAGACCTACTCCTCGCCCAGTGGGTGCCACTGATTTTATCACCCTTCAATTTTTCTATTTTTCAAAGCATACAAAATCTCCTAATAATTGTACAGAAAAGTAGACAGTACCATACTTAAAATATAAACTTTTCCAATGTTTAGTTATTTATAAAGGAGATCAAGGGATATAACCTTTGCATGTTTAATTCTATTAAAAGCTACAAATTTTGAGAGGAGATTTGATACAGTTTAATTTCTTGTACCCTGCTTTAGTTTGGTTTCTATGAGCTATCCCTTTTTGTGCTTTTTGGTAAAAAACACAATTCTAATTTATATTTAGAAATGTAATCAATTTCATCCTGCAATTATGCCACTAAAGGAGAGCTCCCAACCAGGTCAAAAATTTCTGTGACTGAAATTACTGAGTGACGAAACAGAATCAAGCCCAAACACACTTCTCCTGATCAAAAGGAATCAATAAAGACTAATCTAAATGTTTAATTTGGAATTATAAGTGTGCTCCATTCTCTTCTTGAACCTCAGTAAGCAACAGGAAGATTAAACAACAGTTTATGGTCTGATCTTCCAGACACTTGTGGTGGATGTTAATTACATGAGAAGTCCCAGGTCTGCAAGTGTGACTAAGATTAAACATACACTTCACTGTATTTTAAGCTTGGAATTAACAGCTTTTTGGAGAATACATAAAGCTACAGCTCAACAAAAATGATCAACACAGAGAAATACTTCTGAATTCTGCTGTATACACAAAAGTATTTTTTTCAAGTCAGAGAACTGAAAACAACTTTGTCAAAGACTGTCACAGAAATAATTTTGTCAGGGTATAGCTTAGCAGTGAAGCTTTGAGTAAAAGCAGAATAAAAATCAAGCCAACATTCTCCTTGACTGAGGTTACAAGATGCCATTAAGTACTGAAATTGATTTCTGACAGTAGAAGCAATAAAATTCAGAGGGTTACAAATCATGATTAAACTTTTAAGTGCTGTCAAGAATTGATATTAATGATGGAAGATGATCCAAAGACTCTATTGCAACTTTGGAAGCAATGTTATTTGATTTCTTTGACCTTATTTTCTGTAACATTAGTTCTAGATTCTGGATATAGTCTCAGAGATTATTCCATTTTAAAATGGTAATTACAAGAACAAAGTATGTGCCACTGAATGGATTTGAGTATGCTAGCCATAGAACTACAGTTAGCAAAACACCAACATGAAGGATAAATATTAATGGTTTGACATTGAACATCAAATAATAAAACCCCACAAAAACTCACTGTGAACAAACAGGTATGAGTATATGGCTTCTTGGCTTTTAGATAAACAAAAAAAAAAAGCCCAGTAACAAACATTAGTAAAAGTTACAATATGTTAAAACCAGGACAAAATAGGATAACAAAGAAATCAATTTATAGAGTGGCTGTTGAAGAGTGAAAGGACACAGAAAGATTTTGAGGTAATGCACAATGCAGTATATATACCTTGATGCAAAGAGATCTCTCTGTAATACATGACAAATCTATTGTCACATGGATGCCATAAATGACCTCCACCCTATAGCTGGCATAGTAATTTATAGCCAAGTACCTACTCCCAGATCCTGACATGAGGGGGGCAGCCTTTCCCTCACTCACTGTCTCTTGCATTTCCTCATCCTCTTCTTGCCTGCCTGCAACTATTTCCTGCATCTTTCTGCTCACGGATTTAGATCCTTTTGGTCACAGAGCCCTACTTGCCTATTCAGTAATACCAACACTCAAGTCTCTCCCTGCTCTGCTGCAGGATCCCCAACTCCAGCCCACTGTCCCCACATGTTGACAAACAGAAGGAAAACCAATCTCTTGTTATCAGCGTTCATGGGTGAACTGATCCCTGTTACATCTGGATCTTGGCAGCTGAATCACTCAGGCCAGAATAAGAACCTCCTCATTCAACAGCAGTTTTATCCTGAAGCATGGAAATACAAATAGACATCTTTTTACTCAATTATTAACTTCCCAAAGCTCAAGCAAAACTAAAATGTTCCCCTTTCTTCAAACCTATCAGTTTGACAAAGTGCTTCCCTAATTTTTATCTTTACCAAGAAGATTCATAAATTTTTAACACAGTTAGCACATGGCACTGAATAGAGTTATTGGCTGAGGCAAACCATTTTGATTGCCACTACTACTTGTCTGAACATGAAAGCACACACATAAAACACGACTGTGATGGTTCTGTGTCATGTTAACAACCTTGTTTCAGCTAAGAGCAGCACTAAAACACCCCTGTTTCAAATTTGAGCCATTCTTGGATGGATTAAGTAAGAACTATTCTTCCTCCTACATGCTTGATTAAGTCTTCACTGGTGCAAACTGAAGATGGGATGGGCATTATCGGGTAATGATACATGACATGAAGAAAGCCTACCTCAACATTACTGAGTGGTCTTGTCTTCAGGAGACCGAAAATACTTTATAAAACTTTCTAATTCTACAAGGAGAACAGGATAACATTTAGTAGTAGATGTGCTTCTGCCTTGCAAGTTTTGCATTTTTTTTTCTCCACCCCACACTAACACAGTGTGACCACAATGATGGCACTGCTAAGGTTTTTTGTTGGTCAAATAAAGGAAAAAAAATCTCAACATTTTCTTCTCTTTCCTCTGTCATAACACTAAGACAAATTCAGGCTCTGATCCCCAGGACCTCATGCAGACATATCCAAGTTAAGAAAGAGTATTCAGCAAGTACTTCTCATTTGAAAGCACAAATTACAACTACCACAGATAATATAGTATTGAAAGATTTCTATACAGAAGGCTGAGTTTTCAAATGTATAACAATTTTCAGTAATGTAACCTTATTCACTGGCATCAGGTGGGATGTGGTACTGAAAAGCACGTAGAAGTCAGTCCATGGTCTCCAAGTTATTCTAAAATTTCCTTGGGACATCTCACCCCCACATGAAAATGGAGAGAATCCTTCAAAGCCTTGCATTGCTGCTTACCTAAATCCTGCTGCAGACACTGCTCAGCCCACATGAGTGCTGCACCAGGGATCTCCCCAGACTTGCAGCAGCAGGGCTGTCGTTGCACAATTAGGTCAGCCACAAGTTACAAAGGCTTTCTTGCAGAGGGGGATGGACTGGGATGTCTGTTTGCAAAAATGTTGCCTGTGATCACCAAGAGGGAAAGAGGAGAGTAGCTCATGAGTAAGGAATGTGAGCTTCTTGTTTAACACAAAAGAGATCTTGTTGCTTTAATCTCAATAGCCTGTAAGCAATTAGGAAAACACTGAATTTTGAGTTTAGAGGAATCATATCTGCACTTGTGCAGTTTGATATTGCATATATGTACACATTACTCATCCAGAATGCCAACGATGGGGAGACAGATAAACCTCACCTGGTTTAAATGTGAATCAGCACTTTCAGAAATGAAGATTTAATTCAGTATGTGAAGATTTCAATGGGTAAAATACTCACTCTGTTTACGACTATGAAAATAACCACTATCTAAATTGAATTAGATTAGAACTGGACATAAGTGTTCAAAAGATGCCTATCCCACCTGGACTTACAAAATCAGTCACCAAATCCCAAGTCATGACCCCTTCTGAGTCCAATGGGCACAGAGTGTAAATCCTAACTGTTCAGGAAGTGCTGTGACCTGGTTTTACAGCACTGCTGATGTTTTGTTATTACATTCAATAAGGACAGACATAAGACGTAACAGTTGATTCCACCCTTACATGATGAGTAACCTGAACTTCACAATCATTTTAGAGATGCAGAGTTTCTCTAAGTTTATCTAACTCTTGCTAACATCTTGGTAATTGTTTTAAAATTTCTTTCATCATTTGTTCCACTGCCAAAGAACTTTCTTTTCATGGACTAAAATTGCTTTGCTGTAGTCCAAGTGGCCTATTATAATGAAGTTGTAAAAAATTACCACAAACTTCATGATATTAAAGAATATTAATTCTTATAATGATCCCCAAATTATAACATAATTATTTTACTGACAGTACTTAAAACTTCTATCTGGAGAAAGAAACACTGCTCTAAATATTTGTCCTGGCAGTAAAAAGTTGAGACCATCACAAAAGACCAGTATTAAAATACTGTGCATTTTTTTTCATATGCTTGTGAGAAGGCTGATGGAAGAAACAGGAAAAGATAACATTTGTTATGGCAATTATTAATAGAGATTATGATAATGAAGAACACAGGATTAGCTTAAGGGTTTTCACACAGGTACAATGTGTTCTTGTTACATTTTACTCATTTTTCTCATGGATAAAAACCTGTATGTAGAGATAAGTGTTAAAGATCACTCAATGAGCAGATAAAGCAGTCTGGGTGGTCTTCTCTCTATCATAATTAAAATTTTAATTTTAGTATGTTTGAACCTACGTGCATACTTTCTTCTTTTTTAAAAAAATTCAAAGAAACAAAGAGAAAGTAAATGACCACTGTTATACTTTAACAATATTATTAGGGGAGCAGGGTAATGGATCAATTCCAAAGCGCTCCTCTCCCAACTTCTGGAA